CAAAAATTAGGATTCTGGAGGTCCATGCATAAAATCTTTCAATGCTCTATCACACTCAGAGTCTAAAATTCAAGCTCCAGTCTACCACTTCATCTCTTACTTTTCTTCTTACATATTATATTAAAGCCAAAGTAGCCTTTTATTATTTCCTGAGTTTTTCCTACATGAGAGACTTTGCAAATGCTGTTCCCTATACTATAATGCTCTTCCCTTCACCCTCTGTATGACTAACTCTTTTATCATATCTTTCTGGACTCAGTCTAACCTCTTCAGAGAGGTGACCCACCTAATCAAAATCAGCCTCAATTTTTTTTCTTTATAGAAATTTGTAATTATTTATTTTTGCATTGCTATTCTTTTTACTAATATATAAGCTTTATAAAAGCTAGCACTGTTTCTACTTTGTTTCACCATGTTAAAACTAGTACCTGCATCAATGACTCGCATATAGTGCTTGATAAATATTTGTTCAGTGAATGCAGATATCCATATTAACTGTATGGCTTTCAATCTAATTCGAATGCATATTCAAAATCCCATCCCAACACGACAGCAAGGGGGCAGAATGTTTTTTTAAAAAATAAAGACACTGGGCACAGGGTTGCAGCTCAGTGGTAGCACACTTGCCTGGCATGTGTGAGGCACTGGATTCGATTCTCAGCACCACATATAAATAAATAAAACAAAGGTCTATCAACAACTAAAAAAATAAAAATAAAGACACTGAACTTGAGGAAGGAAACCTAGGACTGTGATCTGCTGACCTACAAAAACAGAAGGTAATATTACTTAATCTTTAATGTACTTTCCACCTTGAAGAAAGTTTAAGGCTGCCAATCAAACTGAGATTTCCAAGAGACCTCTAAACACCTGAGGCTCTATCAAGCATCCTCTGATTACATTGTTCAGTCACGGTGCCACCTGCTGGTCACAGCCATTGTCACATTTGGGGGGAATGATCCCCTAATACCAAAAGAAGGAGCTGCAATTGGCAACTGTGCATTTGACATGAATATCTCATTTATTTCTCCCAGTGGCTCCATTAAATAAATACTATCGTTATTTCCATTTTACAGAGACAGCTTGGCTAGGCCAAGATCGCCAGTCAGCCCTTTAGTAATCTAAACTCCATAAAGGGTTTAAATCGCTGGCAGTCTAGAAACTGGGAAAACAGGCTTTTAATCTGCTTGGTTCAGAGGCACCTGTTCGCAAAAAGAGGCCTCCACGGAGGTTAGACTGGCCCTAGTGGGGTGAGATGGGTCGGGGCGCTATGACCAGTCAATCTGCAGCGAAGGAGAGCGCCAGCTACCCTTGGCAGTCCAGTCCCTAAGGAGGAGAGTCAGCACAGCTACTCTCCTGCCGTCGGCCACACGCGGCGCACCAAGGTCAGTCGTGACAGGCCTTCCCGCCAGGACGCAGAGAACAGGTGCGGGTTCCTGACCATCCCAGGTCTGGGCCCAAGTTGGATGGAAAGGCGCCGTGGAAGCGCTTCAGAGACTCCGCTGGGCATCCCCAGCGCAGCTGGAAGAGTGGGCCCGGGTGCAATCTGATGATCGCTTTAAAAGGGTCTCTGAGAGGAGCCCTGGCCGGAGTCCCGAGGGCGAACTCGACCAGCCGGCGGGGCTGGTGCATGCTGAAGTCTCAGCAGCTAGCAAGCTCCCCGAGAAGCTCTCCAGAGAACGAATAGCGCCCCTGGCAAGGTCTCTGGGTTTCCGCGGAGAAAACCCACCTGCGCGGAGAGCCCAGGTCAGGGGTCAGCCGTCGCCAGAGCCTGTGCTCGCTAAGGCCTTTGGGGCTCAGCTGGCTCTGTGGACGGCGGCTGCAGAGGGTCAAAAGTAGCCTGGTCCGGTATGGAACTGCTACCCAGACGCTTCGCTGAGCGTGAGGTGAACAGACCCAGAAAATGTATCAAATAGAACCGTAGCTTTAATGTAGCCTCACCTGCCTGTGATCACAGGTGTGGTGCACGGGTTCAAATCCCAGACCAGTAAGTTCCATTCAAATGGAACCAGTCTCCCAGGACAGTCTCTGAAGTGTGAAAATACTAATTTGATTCATTATCTAGTCATCAAAGCGGGAGAAAACCCGTCCCTAGTCCCTAGCTCCAGGGGCTATCAGTGCATCCACTTAATTGAAAAGGTAAAAAGCTATCCAGCCTCGAAGTAAATGACAGCCAATGATGCAGTCCAGTCCAGTAATAACTGGCACCCACAAACTGCTGGTTGAATTAAAGGCTACAGGTATGTGGAGGGCAAGACTACAGCAGACCGGGGCTGTTACCTCTCCAACTTGCAGAACAGGTGATATTTCAACTAGGATGAAGGGGCCAAGCCAGCTTATAGGTGCCCTGGCATTTCCCATATGTGAATGAAACAGAGATTGGGGCAGGAGAAGAAGGTCCAGATACAGACTGTGATTTACAAATACAGTTCTGCTGATAACAAGGAGTTAGTGAAAATTATGAATTTGGATGCAGTGGCTAGAAATATGGAACCCCTTAGAGAAGAGGTGAAGGAAGGAACTCAAGAGACCAATAGAACAATCCAGGAACCAGGTGTTGAAAACCTGAATAGAGCAGTGATTGTGAAGAGCTTCAAGACTCTTCTGACTGATTAAGGTAAGGAGTTCAAGCTATTGTGGCTCTAGAGCAGGGGAGACTAGAAATAGAAAGCATATTCTTTTAACAGAGAATTCCAAGAGGGTGTGTAAAGAGATTTTTATTTTATTTTGTTGTGGGAACTGTGGCATTTTCAATTTTTTAAAAAAATATTCTGTAGGTAGCTGAAGTTCTTGGAACTAATTTGATTTCAAAAATACTATTTAATGCATGAAGCCTGTTGTATTCTGCCTAATTATCTACCAAGTTGGGGTAATGGTTATCTGATGATGAGAACCAACTCTGCAACACAACTCTGGAGTTCCTTTTCATGTGGACTTGGGAGTTTGGGTGTCAGACAAGAGACAATTTGTGGCATTATCTGTACTTAGACCATTCTTTCTACCTAAGCACTCAAATATTTCTTGAATTTTTTAAGCACAACAGCGGATGAGACCTAGGGAAAAAGTAAACCAGGCTTAAAATCGAACCTCAGGCAATACCCAGAATTTGGGAAAAAGGGGGAAGTGTCACTGATGGGAGTTCTTCAAAAGAAATTTGAACCAGACATAAGGTTATTTTCAAAAGAATTGATTAAACAAAAAAGTGCACCTTTCTCAACTTACATCCCTAATTCTTTTTCGCTTCGTATTATAACTGTCAGTCTTCTCTGCCGGGTTTCTGTTCTCATGACTAAAAGGTTCAGGGATCACTCCAGGTAAACTGGGCTAACTGGGCTGCACAAATAACCACACAAGAGACACAAATACCTTTTTCTTTGGGGTCACTATGACAGCTCCTCTGACCTTAAGGGTCTGCAGGAAGAGAGGTGGGGGGGGAGAGAGAGAGAGAATGCACTATCCCCTTTTATTGAGAAGCTATTCAAAAGAGGCAAAGGGTCAGGTTTCAAGGGGCTGAGTCTATCTTCATGATATCCACTGTCAGCAGGTTGACATCTAGGTAGGCCACACCCAAGGGCACAGTAAGGGGACATACACAAGGCACTTCCATGGAACATTCTATCCTAAACAGGATAAGGGGTAATATAACAAAGGAACAGGTGAGCATAGCTCCACCCAAGGGGCTATAGGAAGACATGCCCAGGCACAAAAAAGACAGTCACTGGAACCCTAGAAAAGAGCGAGCGATGGGTGCCTGAAGCCACATCGCCCAGCAGGGGAGTTAACTCAGTCACGTGCAAGGTTGGTCTCCCACACTTCTCATCTAGGTAACTACTGGAAGGCCATTGTTCCATTTTATGTCCCCGAGGCCTATCAGTGTTCTGATACATATCTGACACACAGATATTTGCTAAATAAATTATTACTAAATGCTATAGAGAACAGAGAATGAAAATAAAAAAGTCAGTGGGGACCTTCAAAGAGTGGCATTTCAGAAGAACCATCCACTTTAATCTTACAAAGGTCTCTTTCACTGCATGGACAACCACTAAAAGACCCTGTATTAACTTGAATAGGCTTACTTCTATGGCTTACTTTGAACTTATGTTTTTGTTTTGTTTTGTTTCTTTTTTGGTACTGGGGATTGAACCCAGGGGTGCTTAACCACTGAGTTACATCCCCAGCCCTTTTTATTTTTTGAAACAGGATCTCACCAAGTGTTTAGGGACTCACTAAATTGCTGAAGCTGTCTGAAATTTCGATCTTCCTGCTTCAGTCTCCCAAGTGTGCCCTGCTAAACACATGCTTTTTTATAGGTCAGTTTTCAGCAGTATAATTTTTAAAAATGGACCCAAAGAGACTCACAGAAGATGGGTGGTTCACTTAAAAACAGATGTGTTAAGACTCTTAAAAACACACTTTTCCTCTTTCTAAGACTATTACAGGAATCTGTATTAATCATTAGGGTAATGAAAGCTATAAAAAGGTTTGATAGTAATTCACTCAATTGTCCTCTAATTCATAAATTTAAGTAAGGTCAACTTCTTAAGCAACTGTTTTAGAAGTTGCTTTGAAACAAAGAAAGCATATTCTTTTAACAAATTAAGATCAGAGATGATCACAAATATGTATCTACTCTATAATGTACTTGAAACATGTTAGAAAACAACTTTTTTTAAAAAAAAAAAACTAACCACTATTATTAAGATTTTTCATGAAAAATAAATCTTGGTAGAACTTGCAAAGTCAGGAACACACACTTCTTCTTCTTTGACCCTATAAATGGGAAAGGAGCAATTAAAATTCTTGCCCACCTGCACAGTTCCAATGGAATTAACAAATAAACATCTTCTTATGTTTAGCTGCCCCATTCTATACTCCCAGCCTTCCAATTCCAGAGCAGGAAAAACAGAGAGTAAGCAGGGGGAAAAAAAAAAAAAGAAAAAAAGAAAAGGATGAAGTTATTCACTGCAATGACTATTCCAGGGGAAATGAGGCACAGATACCACAGTACTGAGTTTTATTAGGGATTTCATTAAGGTTAAATCTCTAGAAATGAGGGAGTTCTGGTTAGAGAGCACAAAAGCCCATGGTGCCTGTTCAGATCTCATAGTGAACCACTGGCTCAGGTTCTTTGGTGGGATCACCTCCTCGTTCCAGGTACAGATTATTATAAGGATACTGCTTCGGCCCCTAAGGAAAAAACACAGGTAAGCAACAATATACATACATACCTAGCTATCCTTACTCCGAGTTAACAAATATGCATGGTAAATGGATACACATTAGCCTCTGTTCAGACCCAGCTGGACTGGGAATGGTAGGAGAGCAGCACTCCTCTTCCCTACTCAGCCCAAGGCAGAGAGAAAGCCTAAATTTTAAGAGAAGTGATGCCTACACTGTGAAAGAGGGGAAGAAAGGGAGCAGGATGGGGAAGGGAGGGAGAGAGAAAGAGAGTCAAAGCTTTCTAAATGAGACAATGCATCCATCCATCCCACTCTCTCTCGGGGTCGAGACAGACTCAATCTCCTTTAAGTCACTCAGCCTCTAATGGTTCCACCACTAAAGTGGCCTAGCAAATGAGGCGTGCAGAATCAGCAGTGGGGGAAAGCACAGAGGAGACATGGCTGGGACGTGCTTTAGGGGCTGCTGGCTTTACCAACAAACAGCTGTCAGAGAACACAGCTCAAGGGGAGGAGAAAAGGGTGATGTGCTTACAGAACTGAAAAATGGAAGAGCCACACTGTTTCTTGCTCTCCTGAAGTGAAGTTAGTGCTCACCCCAGCCCTATGTGCACTCTCCAGCAAGGAGCCCCTGGGGCTTGGCAGAAAGGCTCCGTGTCAGTGCGCACAGATACAGCAGCTACCTTCAGGACATTGATTATTTCTGCAGAGGTAGCACTGGGCAGCCAACTGCAAACAAAACAGCCTCCTGCCTTCAGTCCCTCTCCTTCCAATCCATGCTAGAGACTATTCCCAGATTAATCTTCCTAAGAATCCAGCCTTCATCATGCACTTTTCTATTCAAAAACCAAAAATGGCTCCCTGCTACTCAAGGCAGACCAAGTCATTACTGCAACCCCAATCCCCAGCATGGTCATACCTAGTAGGGGCTGCCCAAATATTTAATGGATTAATACATCCCTACTTCATGAAGTCCGGATCCTTTAGCCACACAATAAAAACTGCCAACCTAACCAATCATCTCACCTCACAACAACCCAGAGATTTCCAAGTCTAGATTTTCATCAGAATTACCTGGAGATTGTTGAAAATATTGATCCTAGAACCCTACTGTGGAGCTACTGAATTAGGATCTCTAAGAAGTGGGACCCAGAAATCTGAAGTTTTAGTAGCTCTCTAGGAAATCAATGCAGCTAATTATCTAGGAACTATTTTATATACCCATACCTATTCTACTTTGGCTCTCTCACACTCCTTCTCCCTCTTTGTCTTCTCTTGCCCCAAATGTTTTCTCCAACTTCTCCCACCACCCAAGTCCCCCCATCCTTGCCCCTGCTTTGGCATTTAAAGTTAACCATATGTGACTCTACTTTGTGTACAACCAGAGAAGTGAAAACTTGTGCCCCATTTGTGTATAATGAATCAAAGAGCATTCTGCTGTCATGTAAAACTGATTAGGATAAAAAATAAAGTTAACCATACATTCTCAGAGCAGGTCATTCCATTTTGCACACATTCACTATACACATAAATATGTACACAATGCCAAACTCTCACATCTCTTCAAAGTTGCTCAAGTCATTTAACTAAATTTTCTTAAACTTCCTTAAAACTAGAAAGTTGATTTTCTATGTCCTTTACACTGACCAAAATATAACTGTATATGCTTACAGTGGACACTTATTTGCTTTCAATACTGTAAAGGAAGTTCCTTTCACATGTCTAACAAAGCATAAGATTTCAGTTCTAGATTCCTTGACTCTACCTTAAAAGATCACTCACCAAAATATAATTGGTTTAATCCTCAAGTAGCAACTCTGAAAAGTAGCTGACTTCAACATTATCATTCTTCCCTATTCCTAACATGAGTCTTCTAACTTGGACTGGACTGAGAAGTTTGGGTAGAGCAATGTTCTGGTGCCAGACCAATGGGTAAGGACCTATCTTCCTGTCTCTTAAGACTCCAGGAAGCTAAGCTTGGTAATGGCTGGTTCCCTACTCCAGACTTCACTCCCTCAGAAAAGGGGGCTAAGCAGGTATGCCAAGGGAAGCACTTCTCAAATACCACGGGAAGGGGAGGGGGAATACTCACCACAGGCTGGTAGGTGGGATATTTTTCCCCCACCCAGAACATGAAAATCATGAAGGCCACGAAGCCGAAAAGGTGCTTACACATGGTATTCCAAGAAACAGGTGTGGGGGATGTATCCACACGGTTCCTGATATACATGTCTAGGTCCCAGTGTATCTAAGGCAGAAAGGCAATAACCATCATAAACTACTCTTCCTGCAAAGGCAGGCAGTCCAGAGTGAACACAGCCTCATACAAAGCTTGACAGAAGCATTCTACTGCCATGGACAATATTCTGAGACACAAAGGCCCACAAAAGAAGATGCTGGCCCCAGTCTAGGTTCTGCTCACCAGAGACAGCTCAATCATGTACAACTTTCACAGTACAGAGCTTTAATTGTTTCCAGAAGTCCTGCTCCATGTGCCTGACACATGTGGAACCTCAGGTCTCAGATCACTGGACCTTATTTCTTAGAGCAGAAAAGCTTAGTATTAACTGGACAGAGAAGTGCCACTTGAGCTAAAGGGAGAATCTCCAAGAAGATACAGGGAGGAGAATAAAGTTAAATGGGCTATGAGAAAATTTTCTCACCGGTTCACCCCAGTTCAACCTTAGGTCTGTGTGGTCCCATTCATACCATGGATCCCTCTCATGCTGTGAGCGATCAGGGAGCTTCGGGTAGTCACCATACCTAAGAGACAGCAAGAAATTATGGAAGGGGTTATGAGCAGTCTCAGACAATTCAGTCTCCCATCTTTGAGATGAAAAACCAAGTGACAGATATGACTTCTTCACCTAAGGAAAGATGAACTGCCTCCCAAATCAAGATTTCAAGTTTTAGTCACAAGCAAAGAACCAACCAAATAAGACTATAGACTGTAATTAGATGGTCACATCAAACTCTAAACATTATAACATATAAACTTTCCTTAAATTCTTTCAAAAAGAAAGGTCACACAATTCTATAATGTTACAGCTAAAAGGGAACTTAGCTACCAATTTTATTGATTATATGATTCCCTTACCAGATTAAAAAAATGAAATTAAATTTTATGTTCCGAACCCAGAGTCACCCAGCCAACTGGAAAAAATTTTAAAAGATTGGAAAAGCATTCTTTTCATAGGTCCTGTTTCTCAACCACAAGTTAGTATACCTCTCCATGCCTCAAACACCTCCAAGGACATCTTGCTTAGCTGGGTCCCCCCCCCCCGCCCCAACAAACACAGGTTCACCTTATAAAGATTGCTACCAAGGCTGTTCCTGTCTAAAATACAATTAAAACATGGGAAATGATGAAAACTAGACATGTGTCACAGATAATAACTGAAAAATAAGGATAGGAGATGCTGAAATCAAGATTGAAAGAATGACACTAGGAAGAAAGTGAAGATGAGGGTAATCACTAAAGGTAATTAACCACAAGGATGGTATGTGGAAATAGGGGTATGCAGAGGTAACATCAACTGGAGAAATGAGGTTGGCCATTTCCACAGCCCTAAAGAGAGACGTACACACAAATATAGAGTACTCCATCTACAAATAAGGTTCTCAAGACAGGAGTCCAGCAAATTTGGGGGCCAACAGAGGTGAGGCAGCTCCTAGCTCCTGTCTGGTTACGTGCCTGGATGACAGCACCTGAGCCCAGCAGATGCTCAATCTAAATGAAACCCAGGGCTGTGGAAGGAGCCAAGGAAGGTTCCTGCTATTCGGGAGTCCTCCAGGGAGCCATTAAAATCTCAGCTTCCTCATTTGAGGAAACAGCCGGAGCCAAGGAGAAAATTGAGGTCCTCTAGGCTGCAGCTGCTCACCCACCCACTCTCACCACGAAGAAAAGCACCCACACCAATGACACTAGAGGGTTCGGGAGAAAGGGTCAGAGTAGAACCACCCATCATGTCTTCTCCCACTATTACCCAGGTACCAGCTGACCCTCTCTACCTCACCCCATGCCATCATCCGGGTAAGGCTCGTAGTCTTCCACACGCATATTGTACTTCTTGGCGGCGGCTGCCCGTTCTTCTGGGGTCTTAGGATAGGGCCCCGGAAGCATGTCCTTGGTAATGTGGGAGGCTGAAGCACAGAAGAGCACAGGTCAGACCAACCCCATTCGCCAGCAGCCCGGAAGGCTCAAAGCTGCAGAGGCCGAAGCCTGGCTGGGACTTCACGGGATCAGCGCGACCCTCCATCACCTCCAACCCTGCTAGGGCACAGACGCCTCGCGATATCCACTACCTCCCTTCCCTCACACCAATCTTCTGGCATCCCCTTCCCACACTGAGGCCTCGCCAGTTCTCGCGGACCTGTTCGTGCCCCTAGCGGCACCACGTTCCCGACAGCCCTTCTCAGCCATCGAACTCCCAGGGCCCCAGCTCCGGCCACCGCCATCTTCACCTTCCGCGCACTTCTCCCCGCGCATGCGCAAAGGCCAGTCACGGCGGCAGAGTCCGGCCAAAGGCGACTCGGGAATCCTGGCGTGAAGGCAAATCTTCTGGGCTGAATGGGGCGGAGCTTAAACTTGGAACTGGGAGTCCTGCAGGAAGGTGAGAGGTTGTATAGAGGTCAGCAAGGGTAACGAGGAAGAAACAGGCAGGTCACTTCGTAAAATGAACCTTTCTCTTCTCAGTCTGCTTGCCTTTTTCCTCTCCTTCACTGGTACTTTTTCTTTTCATACCCAAAGTGACCATTCTTCAAATTCAGCTCTTAGTTTTGTTTGCTCTTGTTTTGTTCTAATTGGTCGATGGACTTCCTTTAGATGCTTTATTCAATTAACAAATCAGCGTTTTATTGGATCCTCAGTTTCAATCCGTGTTTACACCTGAATGTCCCAGTCACCCTCCAGTCCAACAAATGTAAAACTAAACCAGTCACCAGAGTCAGCTCTCTGGAGATGGTGCAAAGCCTCCAATTTGTTAGGACCCGAATAAATAGATTTCAAACTGGACCACAATTTACAAGCTCTTAACTCAATAAGATTGGGAGACGTGTTTGCATATGACTATGTTTTCATCTTATTTACACATGTGGTATTTGAATAATTTACATCTTAAAAATATGCCTCTATTTCCAGCAGCTTTTAAGGTGATCACTGTTTTGGAGCAGAATTCACTATTGTAGTCACTCTCAAATATATATAAAGCAATAATAACAGATATGTACTTTTCAGTATATACTTATTGGTAAGGACTACAGTATAGCAACTTGTCCTCCTGTAAATGAGCAGCACTAGTTAAGCAACATCAGAATTGGATAACATCTGTTTTCATCCATTAGCAAGACCTGATTTCATTTGGATTGAGAAACAGAGTTGATCTACTTATTTTTATTAAGATATTATTTACATATCATACAATTCCCTAAGTGTACAATAAAGTGATTTTTAGTATACTTACAAAGTTCTACAACTATCACTACTAATTCTAAACAAACTATTTTCATCACCCCAAAAAGAAACCTCACAACTGTTATTAGCACATTACCCCTTTTCTACTCACTTGCAATCACCAATCTACTTTCTGTCTCTGTGGATTTGTCTAACTGGATATTTTATATAAATGTAATCATGTGATATATGGTTTTTTATTTCTGTCTTCTTTCACTTAGCAAAATGTTTTCAAAGTTTGTCCATATTATAGTACATTTCAGTACTTCCATTCCTTTTTATGGATGACTGATATACTGTTATATGGATCTACAACATTTTATTTATACACTTATCAGTTAACACATCATTTGGGTTGTTCCCAATTTTTGGCTATTATGAACAGTGCTGCTAGGGACATCTTTGTACAATTTTTTTGTACAGCACATGCATGTGCGGACATATGCTTTCAATTCTGAATATATACCTAGGAAAATTGCTGGGTCCTAGGGTGACTTTATATTTAATCTTTTGAAAAACTCCCAGATTGTTTCCCCATCTCTCTCTCTTTCTATCTTTTTTTTTTTTTTGCAGGGCTTGGGGGTACTGGGAATTGAACCCAGAGGGGTGATTTACCACTGAGTCACACCCCAGCCCTCATCATGTATGTGATTTATAAATATATTTTCTCCCATTCTGTGGATTATCTTTTTTCTTTTTTTTGTTCTCTTTCTTTCTCTTGGTACTGGGGATTGGACCCAGGGGCACTTTATCACTGAGCCACATCCCCAGCCCCCCTCTTTTTCCTTTTTTTTGTGGGGGGGAGGTACTGGGGATTGAACTCAGGAGCACCCAACCACTACGCTACATCCCCACTCCTATTTTGTATTTTATTTATATACAGGGTCTCATTGAGTTGCTTAGTGCCTCACTTTTGCTGAGGCTGGCTTTGATCCTCCTGCTTCAGCCTCCCAAGCTGCTGGGATTACAGGCGGTGTGCCACCGTGCCAAGCTTCCCCAGCCCTTTTTTAAATTTTGAGACAAGGTCTCACTAAGTTGCTTAGGTCTCACTAAATTGCTGAGGTTGGCCTTGAACTTGCAATCCTCCTGCCCCAGCCTCCAAAGTCATTTGGCTTCTTTTTACTCTCTCAATGGTATCCTTTGGAACCCTATTTGTATCATGAAAGGGTATTGAAGTTTGTCAAAAGCTACTTCTGTGTATATTGAGATGATCATGTGTAGTTTTCTCCTATTAATATATTACATTTGATTGACTTTCAGATGTTGAATCAACCTTGTGTTCCTGAAATAAATTCTCTTGGTCATGGTATGTAGCACTTTATATATGGTGCTAGATTTAGTTGTTACTATATTGTTGAAGATTTTTGCATATGTTTAAAAAGAATATATTTAGGGCTGGGGATGTGGCTCAAGTGGTAGCACGCTTGTC